CGGCGGAGGGAAAAGCTGGTCGGAAGATGGAAATTAACGGGACATCCAAAACTGGATATCTTCGGGGTGGGTGTGAGGGGTTATACGCTCTACCGAGGGAGTCGGAATCTTATAACTTTCATATGAACTCACGAAGTGGATGAAGCGAACAAAGGAACACTATGGCCCTATTAAGCGAATGAAATAAAGCAATTAAAGTGATGAACGACGCAGGGTAATAATACTGATTGTCTCCTAGGCTACATTCGAACTCTGGTATTCTACGATGTTGCTTAGGATGTGAAAGAATGAAGCCTCTACCGAAATGTCTGTTAAGAAGAAATCCACCACTTTTCACAGAATAAGCTATTTGAAACCGAATGAAGAGGATCCTGATCAGTGATGTTTAAGGCCTTAAATTTGATATGATCCTTGAATAGACGTCATACACAACTCATACGGTTGCTGAAAACTCTTGAGCAACCTCATAAGTAGTGTAATATGTCTATATAATGTACCGCGATATTTCGGATATCGTAAACACTTAAACATGAAGCGGTCTGGCGCAGCACATTCATTTGCTTAAGAACAACATAAATGAGAGATTCAGCCAACCTGATAGTTAAATTAGTGTATTTGTTGATATGATCCTATTTCAAAAACATCCGATGAGTTTGACAACTGGTGATCAAGTGCCCGCTTATCCGTTTGCCGGGTACGGTAATTGGCTTCAAAACGCATCGCCACTGGTCAAAAAACATCATCAGCAACGACAGGACCAGCTTTAGCTAAATCAATTTATATCAGTACTTTATCTACTCCGGATTATCAAACCAAACGAATAGTCACGCCGTGGAGCACAAGTGTGTTTTTACAGCAAACGAGCAAAACTGAGTGTGTGCCGCTGATGTGTAACTAAGTGAACTCAACTTTTGAAGTTTCAATTATATAGGGAAGTTTTTGGAAAGCTCTAAAGGGTGATACTTCTTCTTGTCACTTTTGGTTACACAGAACAGAGATCCCACCCCTAAAGTTTCAGAAGATTCACTGAAATATCAAATTGTCAAAACGAATGCTTCTGTATGCAATGAAACATCTGCTTGACAGGTGATGAATCGAGCATAGGAAACCAGTTGGAAACAAGATGAGGAAAATCATAAGAGAGTGGCGCCATCGTTTTAGCAAAACTAATGTCGATCAGGCGTGTGAAAAGACAAAAGTTTTGTGTTGTAGCAATAATATGTAATATCCGATATCCAGTCTACATCTAAATGAGGAAACGATGGAAATTCTGAAAACCAACGCATGTTCATACAGTTCAATTCACTTGTTGGTTGGAAATCATAAAAGCCAGTCGAGACAAGCCCGGAAATAAATATTCGCACAAACACATGTTGCGATAAGCTAAACCAAACGGAGTAGATACAGTCCGATAGACTGGACATGCTTCATTAAAAGTAAACTCATTTCCAGAAAAGCTCTCCGTTGATTGATTTTCAGATACAGATAAGCCACCCCCCGCGTTCCAAACTTGCTACGACTCCCTAATTAACACGTGTCCAAAACCTGAAAAGCATCTTTTGACTGAGAAAGCTCATCCAAATCGAGATGCGTGCTACCTTGAATAAGAGTTAAGGTGCAGTCGATAACATGAATGACCCTAGTGATAGAAAAACTCAAGAAACAACTAGTTAAGATAATCCGATTATGAAAGCCACTGAGTTTGAAGCAAGAGGTCGTACTGAGGTGAGGGAAACGGATTAGAGAAATTCAAGTCACACATAATCAGTGTACAGGTTGAATTAACGTGAGTTGATAACGCGGTTCGGCATGTAAATTCATCAGTGTGTCAATTATCAGGATCCGTGGGCAGCTAGACAGGTGTTATGCATTTAAGGCCATCGGTCGCTAGGAAAGGCCTGCTCATCAAGTCAACACTGAAGTGGCGTACCAAGGACCTGACACACTATGAGATCAGAATACAAAGCAGTCAGGTGCGACTCATCCCCTAGGCTTGCTGAGACATAAGACAAGATGCTGCAAACGGTCAGTATCAATCGCGTTCGTAGTGTTAGCTGACGGTAAGCAGGCCTATCCATGCTAACCAACAATAGGTTCTCAAATGTTGTTTTCCGCAATTTTCGTCACTATCAGCTAAGTCGCTCCACTCGAGGTTACCTTAGTGTTCGCTTTCCCATAACTTTTGATCTGAAAGCTGCATAAGTTGATGGATTTGTGTGCTCATACGACGACAATGAGTGTGTAGGATTCGGTGTTCAGTTAGGGTTGTATGTTCGATTAGACCACTGGAAATGGATGGAATTCTGTTACAGGCTTTCGGAAACACGTGAATAAACATAATAAAAAACCACAAGCATCCTACTGAACGACTGGTAACGCTTTGAAAATTACAACATGGAACAGCTAATGACTAAGGCGATCTTCTTACAGGAAACAAATAAACCTGTCTGTTATTAATCTGATAACCCAGGCTAGCGCTGAGGGTAAAAGGGTAGGGTCACTCGCTTTCTCGGCTGCTCGAGCATAATACGTCTAATCGTTATATGCACCCTCAGGTTTCTATATTACCGTCAGATGTATCATATTTTAGCGCTTCATATCACAAGTGAAAGCAGGTCAAATTTTTTTCGGCGATTCCTTTGGATTTCAGACCATCAAAAAAGCTGTGCACTTCATTGGTTTGCAATAACCTGAGTCATGTTTGAACATCTATTCTGAGGGCGCCTTGAACGATAGTTTTAATGATCTTTACGATGTTTTACCAATGAACCAGTTCTGTTCGCTTGTGGATGAATCCCACCTTCATTTACGGTCGATTACCGCGTAATCAGGGTTTATCCCGGCTTTCTCCAACAAAAAAGTCATCCATGTCCAGAGAGACGAATGTGTACGTGTACCCTCTACCGTCCGGCCGGTAGAATCGATTGAAACAAGGTGTAGCTGCCACCTTTTCCATCTCCATGGCCCTTGCAATCCATCAGCGTTCCGTCATTCGTCGGGCACTTTATCATCCGGCGTCTGACGTAACTGCGTGCGCTATCGGAGACGCTAGTTTCTGGTGTGACTTTTCTGGAATCGCTATTTCTGCTAGCCTCGACAATATCCAGTATTCATCTTGTCGAGTCGGTTGGCTAAGACAGTTTATTTCATTCTATTCCATCCATCTTCCAAAGAACATCCTCGTGCATAGTACATACATCCGGAACCGCATCGGATTCTTGATTAACTTTCAATGCATTCTGAACACGTTGGATAATTCGCCGACGGTCACGGTAAATGGTTGGCCGATCGGAGTGTGTACTTTCAGACCTAACCCTTTCCAACCCGATTTTCCTCAGGGAAAGGCGGCATCTCTGTTTCCACAAACAAGGACATGCTGGTTGACTGAGGGAAACACCTTACTGTCTTCACACTTTTATCCCAGGAGACAGTGCAACTTTGCCTCCAAGTATCCTTCTATAATAGTTATTCGTAGTATGGGAGCTGGCTGCTCTTCTTCTGGTTGATCCCCTTTGACCTTCCTGGCATGATTGCACCTTGTGCAACGGTGCACGTGGCGCAGGAGCTTCATCCAGTCGCACCATTGAATGTGGTGACCACTAGGTGGAAACCAATGATAAACCCGACTGAACAAAGTGAATACCAGCTTTAGGAAAGCTGTGGCTCAAGAATGTCGTTATTTTCTTCATCAAATTAGCGGAAAACCAAACTGAAGCAGCCAACGTCACCGTACATGGTTCACAACTCAATGACAATTCTTTCGTCAATGGTCAACATTGAAGTCGATCTTGAAACGAAGAAAGTTTGATCGGTGGTACTCGTTGGCCATGAGATGCACTACTATAGAACTCTTTGTCCCTCTGTGATCTTCACAATCACAGACACCACATTTCGGGACAACTGTAATTCCCAACTCCAACAAGAGTTGGAAACACTGATCATCGTCATTAGCGACAGTGACATCAGTATTGCTACTGATGCATCACTGCTGGAACACTGCTGAACCGGACAAGGGATATTAAACAAAATCTCAAGAGACCAGTACAACCCACCTCCAAAGGGCTGTAATTTGCTGACT